TACATGTGACCTCCTCCCTGGGGGACGGACAACAGAAAAGTAGGTAAAATCATCTTTTAATTAAAAAAATAAAAGGTGAATAGGGAAAAAAAAGAAAAGAACTTCATAAAAGACTTTTCAATAGAAAATTTCCACTTACCATCGATACTACAAAAACAGCAAAACCTTCACTGCTGCATTATCTCAGCTTTCCCTTGTCATACTCCATTTGGGTGCCTCACCCACTTCCACTCCCCATTCTAACTCTTCACAGATTCATAATCTGTGTAAAGTCATCAGTCTTACAAACCCAATCTAATCCAGAAGGCAATCCCTCCTCATTCTGAAGTCTTGCCTGACAAAGAACCTTGGCTCCAATTCTGAAGTGCTGAAGGCCTAACTGGGGGCCTTCCTCAGTCCCAAAGTCAGAGAAAGGTATGTGCCCTGCCTCTCCAATACAGAGTTAAGTAAAATGAGCTATGCTACAGAAGTGTACATAGCATGTATCCATAATTTTGAAGACATATAACACACTTTTATGTTTGTTGTTTAGGGACATAGCATAGATAATAAGGGTATAGAGAACTGCATAGAATAATAAAACTTCGTTTCATAAGTGGTTTATTTTGGAGGGGAATGCAATCAGGAAGCGGCACACAGGTGATTCCAACACTGTTTGCTAATACACCATTCCTTAAGCTGAATAGAGAACAGAAAGGGGCTTGGGACATTATTTACATTTTTTTCATGGGAAAATTCCATTTTTAAAAATCCATTTTTTCCCATGAACATTTTGAAGCCCCCTTTTTCAACTGAAGGAGTCCGGTGGGATAGTTGGTTCACACTGGGCTGCTAACCACAGGACCAGTGGCTCTGAGGAAAAAGATGGGCTTTCTGTCCTGGTAGAGTTTCAGCCTTGGAAACCCGAGGGAGCAGGTTTATCTATACTGTCCTACTGGGTTAAAGAGTTGAGATTAACCCAATGGTGGTGGGTAGATAGGTAGCTATAAATCTGAATAATCCATGACAAATTTTAAAAGAAGGTGACTCAACGTAGGTAACAGGAAATCTTTCTTTCTTTCTTTCAATATACACAACCACACCCACAATTTCTGTATGAATACCTCAATAACATCGATTAGGCTGTGTCACCATTCTCTATCCATACTGTATTATAATGATTGATTTGGATTCTCTGCCTCAAAATGTTCTCATCTGTCTTTAGATGAATTGTTACCAGATTATACTTATATGGATAATTTTCTCTTAGGGCACTGGTGGCAGAGTGGTTACAGATCCGGCTGTTGTCAGGTCAGCAGTTTGAAATCCCCAGCTGCTCTATGGAAGAAAGATGAGGCTTTCTACTCCTGATAAAAGCTCCAGTCTGGAAAAACCCCGGGGGCAGTTCTACCCTGTACGACAGGCTCACTGCGAGTCCGAATTGACGCAATGGCAGTGAGTTTGGTTTTCGAATTAAGGCAAAACATTCTTATTACTTGTGCTAAACTTGTTACTTATAACAATGGCTTTATGGGATAGTCTTGGTTCAAGGTTTAAAGGTTTTTTCCTGCACATTTGTTTCTGGGGAAATTTGAAGTTGTTTCACATCTTTTCTTCTTTTAATCAGGATCGACGTTCACAACATTCAGTAACAGTCATTGGGCATTTGCCATTGCTTTTGGTCTCATGGAGGTGATAAGTTTATAGACGCAATTTCTTTATCGAATTCCTGATTCTCTTTCCTCTGCTGCTGTAAGCATTTCTTAGCAGATGGTTAAAATTTTTACTTACCTTATCACCAAGAACTTCTCTTTCTTTCTTAAGTTTTTTCTTAGCTGCCAGCTTTTCCTAGAATTTTAAAAAACAAAGTTTGACTGTAAATCATCAGGTACATAACAAAAACACACAAAATGATTAATTACTATGTGAAGGCTATTTAAATTGGGAAAGTTCTGCAATCTATTAAAACAAACATGCTGTCATATTTTAACGGCCAGTTAATATGATTTAATAAATATCTTATTCCTTCATAAAGTCTAAATTGGCAAGTTTGAGAATCTAAATTTTCATTTGTCTTATTTTCTATGAAGTCTCAAATTTAGCAAATACCCACTATCTATATGAAATCAGGTTTTGCTTTTTGCGTGTGGTTTGTTTGGCATTGCTAAACAGTTGCATCCTAAAGAAAGCCCTAGCTATGCTGACTGCTTCTCTTAGAAAATATCAAAAGGGAGAAGATTATTCATTTTTAAAAATAACACCATTCATTTATTTTGTCATTAAAATGTTCTAGATTGTTTTAACTATGAAAAACATCTTTTGGTGATTTCTGGACCTAATGCCACATAATAGGGGGTAATTTTTTCCTTCTCAGTACCTATTGACCAGGCCTCAGATTAGAATTCACAGTCCCCCAAACTCTTTTAGAACCACCTATACCAGCCCTCTCCCCACCATATTAATACACCAGAATGGGTTAGATGCCCAATAGCATTCTGGCACAAATAAGACAGTCCAGAAAATCAAAAAGTCTGGTACGAGAAGACATGCAAATAAAAAGTTTGAGAATGTGATATTCTATGACGTGCAAAAATAAACAAAGGTTTGCTTTGAATAGGAAATCTTTCGGCTGCTAACAAAAATGTCAGCAGTTCGAAGCCACCAGCCACTCTGCAAGAGAAAGACGAGTCTCTCCACTCCAGTAGAGCTAGTCTAGAAAACCCGAACGAGTAGTATTACCCTGTCCTATTGAGTCGTTCTGAGTTGGAATGAACTTGATGGCAATAAGTTTGGTGGCTTTAAAAAAAAAAAAAAATCAGACTCTAGAAACTAACCAACGTTGGGTGGATAGGGCAAAGCGGCAGCCGTGAGACTTCACCTTCTAGGCCGGAGGAGGGGGTAGGGTCGTTTTCACTAAGAGAAGAGGTGCGGAAAGTGCTGTCTAAAGACGGACCCCTCCAACTTCATGCTCATGCAACCACACGGAGTGGATGGAGTCCAAAGCCGCGGATGTGAACAGGTCACATGAGACCAGGCCTCACCCATTCCCATTAACTACTGGGCTCGGGTCCCTGGCAGAGGCGGTCTCCCAAGTGCCACAGGACCTCCCGCGCTCCGAGCCACGCGGCGACCCCACGGCGCGGGCGCCGCGCATGCGCCCCGCCAGGCTCGGCAGCTCACCTTCCGCTGCTGCTGCTTCCACCGCGTGAACATCAGGTGTCGCCGCTGCTTGTTCTTAATTTCCGAAATACTGAAGCCTGGGGGGAAGGCAGCCGCCTGCGGGGCTGCACCCCCGCTGGCCGCCGCTCCATCCCCGGAGAGCTCCGTCTCCTGAGGGTCTTCGGCAGGGGCTTTTCGCCTCAGACCTTTCTTTCCGCCGCCACTCTTACCTCCGGCTTTCGCCATGGTGTTTGCTCCCTGGCGTCCGTGTGGAACCGGAAGTGGTTTTGCTTCGACCCCGTCCTTAAGTTTTTACTTCCTGGGTCGCAGAGATCTTTTAAAAACATCCCCCCCCCTCCCCCCCCCGGCGTTGGTTCTAATTCGTATCGACGGTATCGTTGCCCCTGCGGGTTCTTTACCGCAATCCGCTGGTGGGTTCGATCGAGCACAATATCCTCAGGAGCCCCATTGATTAAAAACAGGTAGACTGCCTAAATCACGAGTATAGGAATGCGCGCAGTAACCCACGAGATGGGAAATGGAACCCGGGAAAAGGCGACGAGGACCCTTAACTGGCCTCCCGGAGGCTTCGTTGAAAGGTTAGGTTAGAGGCTGGAAGAGGGGTGCCTGGCCCAGGCGTCAGGGTGGAGCCGACGAATGGCGCCGACCGCACTCGCTGCCTCAGAGCCGGCCCGAGCTGTGGCCCCGGGCTCCCGCGGCGAGCGGACGGACGGACGGAGGGGAGGTGCTGGCGACCCCGCGCCCACCCCTGCCCCCTGCCCCCGTGCCAGGATCCTGCCGGGGTGGGTGGAAGAGGAGAGGCGCCCCCGCTGCAATGGGAGAGATCGTGGAGGGCTTTGTAAGCACTTTGGCTTGTATGTAAACGGTGAGCCCCTTGCAGGATGTTGGGAGAAGAAATGCTATGATCCAACTTCTGTTTTTAAAGCATCCCTCAGACTTCTTGTGAGCATAGACTGTCGGGGAGGGAAAGTCCTGAGGAGATTAAATGATGGCCTTTGAACCAAGACAGTCCAAAGGAAGGTGATAAGAAATGATCCGATTTTCTGAACAGTAGAGCCCTTAAAAGCAAGGATGACCTCCAGTTTGAGATGGGGAAGATGACAGGTGGGACGAGTTGGAGAAGTAACATCAGAACTTCAGTTCTGGAAATGTTAAGTTTTAGACACTTGATTTTGCCCAGTAGCCAACTGGATGCAACAATGATTCTACTGTAAGGTTCTCTATGGAACGGAGATTAAAATTTGGGCGCTGTCTGCACATTGAGATAGTATTTCATGCCATTAGCCTAAGTACCAAGGACCGAGCCTGCGGGCACTTCCACATCTGGGAGAGGAAACAAGTTAGCAAAGAAGAATAAACAGGAAAATCAAGAGTTTTCATAAAAGCCAAGTGAAGAAAATATTTCCCCCATGGTTAATGTTTGCTGTCTTTTTCATTTTAATTATATGAGCATGTCTTCCAAACAGAGATGAAGGGTCCTTTTAGGATCCTGTTAGGAGTCAGTCTCCCAGGTACTGTTCTCGTGACAATGTTTATGTTCTAATATTCACATAGTGTTTTCACAATCCATTTGTGTGTGTCCATCTCGCATTTTTACCTCTTCAAATTCTTACGAACAGAATCACGATTTTAAAAACATGAGAACCACATCCTCAGAAGAAAAGACCCATCCAAACTGCTGTCAGCCTGGAAAACTACAGCCACCACACTTGGATCCACGTTCAGCTGTAGATTACACAGAAAAGAAAAAGTTAGTGTTGATTTTTCAAATCGCTGGCATAGTGCTTGACAGATTGTTATATACACTTTATTTGAAAAAAGACAATCAGGTCACAAAACATGAAGACGAGGAATTGTTGTGTTAGGTGCCGTCAAGTCAATTCCACCTCATAGTGAACCTATGTACAATAGAAGGAAATACTGCATGGTCCTGCACCAGCCTCACAATTGTTGTTCTGTGTGAGCCTATGGTTACAGCCATTGTGCCAGTCCATTTCACTGCCCTTCTATTTTACCAAGCATGATGTCCTTTCCCAAGGACTGGTCTCTCCTGATAATATGCCCAAACAAATGTGGGGGAGTCTTGCCATCTTGCTTCCAAGGCGTATTTTGGTTGTACTTCTTCCAAGACAGATTTTGGCAGCCCATAGTACTTTCAATATTCTTCATTAGTACCATAATTCAAATGCATCAATTCTTCTTTGGTTTTCCTTATTCAATGTCCAATTTTCATGTACATATGAGGCAATTGAAAAGTACCAGGGCTTGGGACAGGTGCACCTTAGTCCTCAAAGTGACATCCTTATTTTTCAAAACTTTCAAGAGGACTTGTGCAGCAGATTACTCACTGTAATGCACCTTTGGATTTCTTTACTGCTGCTTCTGTGGGCATTGATTGTGGATTCAAGCAAGATGAAATTCTTGACAACAGCCATCTCTGTTCCTCTGCTCATCATGGTGTTGTTACCTGTTGGTCCACTTGTGAGGATTTACATTTTCTTTACATTGAGTTGGAAGAGGAAGAGGAGTAGGAGATGTAAAGAGAGGAGGACAAGAAGGAACAGGAAACTAATTTTCATTTGGAAAATATTTTGAAGTCTCTTCTAATCTTAATTTTATATTTTATCTCCATATATAGTACACTCTTTCCTCTTAAGAATACAAAATATCCCAAGAAATTTTAGATAGTTGTCATGGCACTTATATGGCATCTCTATTCAGAGATGCCATACAAATGGAACCATATGCTGGGTAATATCTATACTTCCTTTTATTCATCATGTCTTATTTGTAAAGGTTTTGAGAGTTGAATGAAAGGATGCACATGATCAGAATAAAATTTCTATTTGGAAGAAAATACAAAAACATTGATTGAGCAAACATTAGCTACTAGTCTACAAGGGTCTAGAGTGAGTGGTTTGATGGAAACAGTGAGTTCAGATCTTGACACAATCACTTAGATACTGTAATATCTCAGGTAAGCCCGTCTCTGTGAGCTTTAATTTTTTTCATCTATGAATTGAGTGTGTCATATTTATCGACTAAATTTTTGAAAGGAATAGAGATTATGTGTATTCAATAACTAGCAGTGCCTGGCACACCTGATAAATGCTAAGGCACTACATTTATTATTTTTAGATGTCAGAAATTCTGCTGAACGTTACTGGAGGCAATGTTTCCCCTTAAGTAGCTTACAGTTAAGAAGATGAAACATAATTAGAGTTTATTAGCTATTGAATAGAAATTCATGTAGAGTACCCCGTAATTTTGAGATCCAGCTCAGCCTCTTGCTTTTTCTGGTTCTTCCTTATCCATTATGTCTAGGGCTCATTCTTCATATAGTGTTTTAAGGGAAGGATACATTTTAATATTACAAAAATAAATTTCTGATTTTTGTGTTCTTATTATGACAAAGACCAAAGGCACAAATGATGAATCCAAAATATGAGAAAAAGGAAAACCAATTTTGGGATGTGCAGATTTTCCGCTTACAATGTAGTACATCTTTTGCCCAATGCAAAAGAAAGGAACGCTCTCTGGGGTTGAATTTCGCCACACGGCTCGCAGGTAACAATCACAGGACGCTTGCAGACCCAGGCTCTCATCGGTATGCCTCACGGACATCTTAGAGCTGTTTCTGGCACTTCAACTACTTATGCCAAGGATTTTTGAGAGTTTTCTTTTTGCTTATTTTATACCTGATGTTTTCTCGACCACTAATGAGACAGCTAATGTTTCCCAGACCTTGCTTATTAGCCAAAAAAAATCTGTTGAAATGTTTCTATGGGAATTCATAGTGTCAACAGAACTCTCACAATATCAGTTACATTTGGGAAGAGGTGAAAAACTTTAAAAAGTAGAATACTTACAATTTTGTGAGGAGACATTAGAGCTACATACACGGCCCCAGACTTAAGTATAGTTTGAAAACTTTTCAGATACTAGAATTCTGGGAAGTCTTTTTATAGTGAATGCTGTCATGTCAATATATTTCTCACTCTGGAACAGACATGGTACATGTGTTGGCCTGTCCGGGGCCATTCGGCTCAATCTTCACTATATTTTGTCAGAGCTTGCAGTACTTTTCCATTCCCACCTATGTGACATAGTTTTGTGATTAGGTTATCTCCCCTCTGAATAGCCTGTCCTTGAGACGGGCTGAGTTTAACCTTCAAGTCTGCCTAAAAACAGATAAGGGGGTTTCCATACATGGTGTGACTTTTTTTGATAAAGCACCTATATCCTGCTTCCCCTTGATTGGGTAGGAGATTGTCTTCACCCTATTTACACATCTAGTGCCTGCACCTGATTTGCATAAAATGACGTCACTTCGCTTACCTGGTTGAAGACTGTAAACTGTTCCTGAGGGCAGTGCTCCTTGATTGATCTATTACCAAAGTGGCCTAATTTACATGTGCGACAGGTGTTTCCCTTCCCCTGGCCTATATAGGCTGCAACCTTTCACTCAATAAAGGAGACTTGATCAGAATACTGTCTTGTCTCCATTTCTCGTGTCTCTTGTTCCCCTCAATTCCCACTCCCTCCTCCAGGGTCTGCGTTGACGTTCCTGCGGGTCGGGACATTGGCCCTTTCAGAGATCAAATACATATTAAGAAACCACAAGATTTACCTCAGAAATTTTTTTCCACTTTCTAATATTTCCAGGAAGTATCTAGTACCACATTTATATATTTTTAGGATGATCCAGACTTCTGATCTTTCCAATCAGAGACAACACAGAGAAACACTACAATCAAATTATAGTGTCACTAAAATATTCTCTATTTTCAAAACCATTTCATTGGGCATTAATACAGATATCGTTCCATAGTTCAATCACATCAAGCAGTGTTGTACAATTGCTGCCACAGTCAGTTTCAAAGCATTATTTTCCTTCTTGAACTCCTTGACATCACCTCCATTTTGCCACCACCGCGATGCGCTCCCCCACCCACCATCAAAACCTTTATTCTACTTGTTGTCCCTATAGCTTCAAACCTGGATTCATATCCTGCAAAACATATAACAAAAATTCAAGAGAGTGACCCCAAATGACTTAACACATCTGAGATAAATTCCAATATGAGCAAACTACCAAGAAAAAAATACAGAAAATGTTGAAAACCAGATCAGATCTAATGTGCATCAGAGGGGCACCAACTGACAAGATTTTAGCCATTCAAGTCAGGCTTATCATTTTGATCTATAGTCCTCTCACCAACGCACTCTGTTTGGTAGCCA